GGGCTATGCACCACTTTCTAGTGGGCCATCGGCTGGGCCCTACACTTACCAAACCTCCCTTTCAAAGGGTCACAATGTTTGGGATTCAAAACTTCTTAAAAAATATTAATAGTTGGGGCTGACGCTGTGGCACAGTGGGTTGAAGCCCCGGCCCGTAGTGCTGGCATCACATATGGGTGCTGGTTCCAGTCCTGGCTGCTCCACTTCTGATCCACCTCCCTGCTAACGTGCCTGGGAGGCAGCAGAGGATGGCCCAAGTCCTTGGGCCCCTGCACCCACGTGAGAGACCTGAAGAAGCTCCCGGCTCCTGGCTCTGGACTGGCTCAGCTCTGGCCACTGCAGCCATTTGGGGAGTGAACCAGCAGATGGAAGACCTCTCTCCATCTCTACCTCTCTGTAACTCTTTCAAATAAATAAATTATCAAAAATATTAATAGTAATATTTTTGCAGGTATTTTGCTGACTTCCCTGAAGTCGGGTAGAAAGGAGTTCTATTTTATCCTCTGAACCAGACAGATGTATTGGGACATGCAAGAGAATATTTGATGTCCCATGGCACATCTGGAACTAGGGCATGAAACCAGCAGAAAGTCTGGATATGAGTGAGACAAACTGAGGTGAGATGGGATAATCTATGAAATTATGTTGTACTGATACGAAGTCATGAGAGAAATATTCCTCTTGATGTGTTCGTGGGCCCTTGGTCATAGGAGAGGATGACTCAAGGGTGAAAAAAGCCATTATGCAAAAATGCATCTTAAAACTATGCAACTTCAGTAGGAATTATTTTCATTACAGATTTATCCAGCAGGGTTCCTTTAAAAACCATTTTCCCTACTGCATTTAAGGTTGTTATTTACAGATTACTAGCTACATGGCTAGGAAGAGGGGCAATTTAAGTCTAAAAAAAAAATCCATGGCCTGTTAAATATCTATAGGAAAAAAAAGGCAACAAAAACAGCATAACCTTGGAATTCATCAGACATGTAGGATCTGATTTACAAAAACATTTATTTACACACATCTTTCTTCAGAAGCACAACTGTTAGACAGAAACGAGCAGCACACACATTTCCAAGCGAAGAATCGAGAGCATCCAAGACGACTTTGAGGAGAGAGTCTCTGCTTTGGGGAAGATGACTGGACGCTTAGACAAAGAAAGACTGCGCCTACCGATTCCCCAAGACAAGACACGTGACTCAGCCTTCATACACCAGGAGAAGGGGCAGAGGGAAGCATGCATGAACCTGTGTGTGCACATGCGTGTGTGTGTGGGGGGGTGGGTGTACAAGAATGACGCTTTACGTGCTGGTTAAATTGCTTAAGGAAATGGAGTGTGACAATGTACCAGAATGTGGACCTTAAACTGTAAGAGAAAATGCAAACGGATATCGCAAAGAAGTCAGCTACCTGAAAACAGGCTGGACCAACACACCGAAAGGAGAGGCAATGCACAGACAACCTGTACTTTCAGCATCACTGCACAACCATAGGATGGAGTTAATTCAAAGAACTGTGGCCACTCAAGTGGAGAGGGACAGGGCTCAACACTGCTTCCCACGACAGATAGTGACCGAGCCTACCAGCTGCATGCCACCACTTCAGTTTCTTACCATAAGAAACTACTTAGTTTAATGGAGTCTTAGGGAATCTCTCTCTCCATCTATACTATTAATATTTTTAGCTATTAATTTTTAAAAAAAAAACTGTTATATACAAGGGCAAGGCTATGAACCTAAGTATTCAGTGAGGGAGAGCACATTTAAGAGAACTAAACCGAATATCATGTCATTCACATATTTTCATGTATGGCACATGGTATGTTCATAAACTAAAGTAACAGGGGCTGGTGCTGTGGCACAGGAGGTTAATCCTCCGCCTGTGGCGCCGGCATCCCATATGGGCGCCGGCTCTAGTCCTGGCTGCTCCTCTTCCCTTCCAGCTCTCTGCCATGGCCTGGGAAAGCAGTAGAAGATGGCCTAAGTCCTTGGGCCTCTGCACCTGCGTGGGAGACCCAGAAGAAGCTCCTGGCTCCTGGCTTTGGATTGGCGCAGCTTCGGCCATTGCGGCCATTTGGGGAGTGAACCAGCGGACGGAAGACCTTTATCTCTGTCTCTCCCTCTCACTGTAACTCTACCTCTCAAACACATAAATAAATCTTTAAAAAAATGAAAATAACAAGATGGAACATACTTGGGCAACCTGACTGATGCTGTCATTTTAAAAGGAAGAATACTGGATGTCCATTCAGTTTCTGTAATTATGAATTTCTACCTTTAACTGAGAACAAACAGCATAATTAGAGACAGTGAAGGGATGTGGTTACCTTGGATCTTGAACACAATGAACTCTTATATCCCAGATTGGCACAGGCTGTAAAGAGTCAATTTGTTAATGTTTTAGATTTTGAAAAGTGTCTCCATCCAACATTATTCTTGATTTCTGTTGTGTTTGTCTTTACAGTCCTTGGACTATCTATACGTCACCACTAGTGCACAGGCCTAACCAAAGAGGACACCGTCTGTCTCTCTAGTTTGCTGATCTCTGCACCAGACCATCTACAGTTTCTGCATGCTTCAGCTACTCCAGCATGGAGAACTGGTACAACATCCCCACGTCTCATAGGCAAGACACAAGCTGTCCCCTGAGGTCTTTAGAATAGCTCTGCCACTTCAAAGCAGCACGTTTCAGAGTTAATTTGTTCACTTCTATAAAGAAAACTCAAGTATGAAAGAACAAAGTGGAATCAAAAGTATGAATGGGGCGGGCATTGTGTCGCAATGGGATACGCTGCCACCTGTGACACCCGCATGTCGTCTCCGGTGCTGGCTGCTCCACTTCTGACCCAGCTCCTGCAAATGCACCTGGGAAGGCAGCAGATGAGGCTACCAACACTTGGGCCCCCCTCCAACCATGTGGGAGACCTGGATGGAGTTCCTGGCTCCTGGCATCAGACTGGTTCAGTCTGGCCGTTACAGACACTTGGGGAGTGAACCAGCAGGTGGAAGCTCCCATTCTCTTTCTCCTCCTCTCCCTTTAGCTCTTTCAAATAAATAAGTAAATCCTTTTTAAAATTTCAAAGTATGAGTTTATTTGGTACAAAAAAAGTTTCAGTATAAAATTTTCCATAATATATAAAAAATGTATATTATGAAAAATATGCATGGATTTCAAAACCATATCTACAAATGAAATAGCCCTATTTCCAAGTGCAGTTTCCATGAACTCTGAAATCTCCTCATATAAATACGTCACAGTTGTACAAAGCCGTATTTGTCCAACAGGGTGCCCAGGAGCTCCATGTGGCTAACTGATGCTGCATTAATTAAAAGAGAGTAATCATCCGATGTCTCCGTCCCCCCACACTGTGCTGGACAGCACAGGAACAGAAGATCTCATCGCGGACAGATCTATAGAGCAATGTTAGAGAAACAACAGTGATGTTCTTAACCACCACTCTCTTCCAGAAAATTCCATATATGGAGAAAGAGGAAGAGCAGGTACCCAACATAAGTATGGGATTTGGAGTCAAATGGACGCCCAAAAGCAGCTGAAGTTTGGGTCATTTCCCCAAGGTCAAGAAACACATGAACCACACCCTGGCAGTGAGACCCTGGGCGACTCACTCTACTCAGCACTCTAAGCCACCTCGCTGAAAAGCAAGCATCTTAATACCTACCTGGTGCTGGCTTTGAACGGAGCGAATAGGCGTAGCCTGTGGACACGTGTGACAGTCCCAGGTACACACACATACCCAGCAGCCCAACCGGGACCCTTCTTGCCGGTATGGTTAGATTCTGGCTTCCCAGGGGCACCGAAGACAAATACACCACGCATTTCATTTATATCACAGGCTTATACTCTGCTCAGGAGCAATCCGACGGCCCCCACCTCCTGCAGACTTCAGGGACCTGCAGGTCTGCCCCGGACGTCACGGCCATGGTTCCTGCGGCTACTCACAACACAAGCGAGAAGGCTTGCGCTGTGAGAACTGAATGCGTGGTTCGGGCCCGAGCGTGAGGCCTCGCCCCTGTCTCTCACCCCATGGACACTCTGCAGCCTGGGACCTCTGGGGCCTGCTCCTTCTTCCTCCTGCCCATCTCAGACGCAGCCCACTCACCCCCGCTCAGGGCCCCCAGACTCACTTCTGAGCCTGGACCTGATGACGACTCACTTTGCAGCTGTGCCAGTTTCATGGACGGTACACACGTGGTTGATCAGATCTCGGCGCTGGTTGGGAGGCTCTCTGAGGTGGGGCAAACCATCTGGGAGCCCTCCGCGGAGTCAGATGGAGATTTAACTTTTCAGCCTGTTCTGGAAACTGGGGAGGGGCTGAAGCACACACCCCGGGCACAGGACTCTGGTTCTTCCTCTCGTCCGTATCTACGGCTGTCTCCTCCCTCAACTCTATGAGTATTGCCACGTATCAAAGCAGCCTTATTTTCAAAAGGCAACTTTGTATTGTTGTTTTCGCTCCAATTAAATGGAGGAGAAACCACATTTTTCGCTCTCCTCTCTCTCCGCAGTGCAATCCTTCCACAAAGAACAGAGCATGAGCTATGGGCAAGCCGTACTTCCCACCAGGACGTATTTATGCTTAAAACTGATAAGCACCTTTTGCTAGGCTAGGGTGCCATTAGGATGGCCTGTAGGTTTTACGTAGACGGCGTTATTTGCAAAGCTGTGAACAGAAGGCAGCCAACGCCAGAGAATCCCATTCACCCCTCCCCCTCCCCACAACCCAATGCCCACATCCCATCCCTCGGACCCCCACCTGGCCAACAAGGAAGGGCTGGGATGTCTGGGATGTAGAGGGCAATGAGCAGAGGGATCCAAATGCCACAGCCACAGGAGAACACACACATGCTTATGACATCAACTCCATCAGGTGGAGAGGCACACAGGAGCGGGACGGAGGGGACGAGGACGCACATGGCAGGGAAGGTGACTGGACGCAGACGGAGGGCATAAAACAACACGAGCCACGGCAGTGGGCTTACTTGCGGAAGTATATACAAGTGAACTGGGGGCACTGTACATGGAGGATCCCTCCTGGTTTGCCTGGCACAACAGCACGGTGCCTACGAGAGAGAGAGAGAGAGATGGTATCTGGTTTGGGAACAGGCACGCTACACCTGAGAGCAACCACAGAAAACCAAACGAGAAAGGCAGAGAAATGGAAACACACCTGCATCCCAGAGCCCGGACAGGGACACCCAAGGAAGCCTCTTGACTTAGCCAGAGGGAATCCATGGACACCCACCCTGCGCTCCATCAGTCACACGGCACCACTTCTCCCCTGGCTGTTAAGTGGTGGCTTCTGGCTGCCCCAGAACCCAGTCTCAGACCAGGATCCGAAGCACCATGGCCTACTCCAAAGGGAACATCAGAAATGGCGGCAAGAACTGCCGGTAAGCCCGACTCAAACACCACTTTGCTGTGTGACCTGGGTAAGTCCCTGGACCTCTTTGTGCCTCAGCGTTCCTACGTGGAAAACCAGGACCGATATACCTACCTCCCAAATGGGCTGCAGACGTGACCTTGGGTGGGGCTGGCGGGCAGTGGCCGCTTGATAACCAGGACACGTATGCACGGCTGAGTTTGGCAAAGACCTTTCTTCCCCCTAAGCTTCAGACTCTTTGAATCATCGTATCAGAGGAAGAACAGGAATAAGGCAGGAAAGAAAGCCCTGTACCTTTTGCCGTCCCCCGTGGCCCACCCCTGACCCACTGTGGACACTGGACGGGATGATCCTGGGATCCTGCATTTCCAACTTTGTCCCCACAGCTCTCTGCCGCCCAGCTGGAAAGGCTGTGAAACCAAGCTGCAGGCCACGGCCGCACTGCAGCGGCGACTTGCCTCTGCCTGATTTAAAGCAAAGGGCACTGGGCTTATCCTTGCAAGATGGAATTTTCCGGCAGGGAAGAGCAGTGCCGTCCTGAGACATCTCAATCTATGCCATGTTTTGAACAACCACCCACTCCAAGGATGGCCAGGGCCAGGGATCATCAGGGTCTCAATTCTATGCCACTGTGGCTGCAGAGCTCCAACTCAAAGACTTTGCAAAGAGGGAAGGAGACTTTCGAGGCATCTTAAGCCCATTACTGAAGAGGGAAGTGCCTTCCTGTGGTTTCTGTTGACTTCCCCGGCTGGGAAAGGTCACCAGCCCCCGTTTGATTTTGAATCTCCCTGTCATAATCCACAACAGGAAAACAAGCGCACAGAAGGAAGCCTGCCTGACAGGTGCACGCCCAGGGACAGCCACCTTTCCTACCTCCTTGCACACTTGCCCTAGGGGATTGTTCAGGCCAATCCGCTTGTATCCCCAAACCCCTCCCACCTCGCGTCCCCTCCCCTCCGCACAAGATCAAGAAAAGCAGAATTCTAACTTGCAGATCGAGTGAAGTTCTGTCACTTAGAGAGGGAGAGCTTCCAATGTCTTTAAGTGAGGGTAAACCGGGCTCCCTTCGCAAGGTTCTCTCCTTCCCTGTGCCCCGATCTGCTATGGGACAGATCAGGCGGATCCCAGGGCAAGCACTGAGAAGCCTCTTCTTAATTCACTCCTACCCTCCATCCCTGCGCCTCCTTGCTAAGTGGTGCACCTCCTTGCCAGGAACAACAACAGAGCTTTCATTAAGATTCCTAAGCCATCTCACCCTTGCCCTGTCACCAGTTCTGACAATTCCACTTGATCCTTCACAGGGAGAAATAACTCAAAGGAATGGGCACCCGTCCTTTTTACTTTTCCTCTGGGATCCTATGCTTATCGCTGGAGAAGGGTCATCCCCACATCCCCCTGTCCCTTCCAAACAGCCCTTGGATCTAAGGGCGAGATTAACTGACCTGCTCTTGGAATCAAACATATTAAGGGTCTGGAAGGGCCTTGGTCATGTCCAACCTTTGCTAAACTGATCATTCTTTATCTACTTCATTTAAAAACTGTTGATGATGGCACCTAAAAATGAGCCTCCATGTGGCCTGCTTTCTCCTCGGTGTGTACTTCCAGTTTTAGTGGGTAAGCGGCATAGTAGTAACAGGACGAAAGAGCAAACAAACCAATCTGCAGAGAAAGGGGGTTGGGGTCTCACATCAACCTAAGGGAGGCAAGCTACCCGTGAGAGAAGACATCCAGCAGCCCCTGCGATACCTCTGGGTCAGTAAGTACCTGTGATTGAGTCTGCAAGGTCATCTGTGTGATTCCACGCATCCCTGGCAACCTTAGAGAGAAACTGATGTTTCTATAGGGTAGACGGACGGCTGCCCAATCAGAATCTTCTAGAGCAGGCCCCTGGCAGGTGGATTTTGAGGACTCTCCTCAACCATGCGGTTTCTGGGGGTGCTGGGTTTTCAAAAGCAATCTGATTGTAGCAACAGCACATCCTGGAGGATGCCTCAGTACTGCATGGTTAGGACCCTCGGGTCAAGGTTAGGACCCTTGGGTCAAGGTTAGGACCCTCGGGTCAAGGTTCAAGATCCTCAATGCAATTTATAGAATTCCACTGGGACGTAACACGGAATCTGTCTAGAAAGCTAAACCCTGGCACGGCAGAATGAAGCTGCCTTAATTTTCTGTACACTGTGGGTTCTGAGAAACTGGACCAAAAGCCCTTCTCTGAATGCTCTCTTAGTAGAAAAATGATTTTTATGCAAAGATTTTGACCTTTGTAAAATAAAATCTATGTAGTCACAGGACATGGTTTTTGCTTTACCTAAAAAAACAGTCTCCAATTTAATTTGCAAAGTACTTACAGTCTGCTCCGTTAGTGCTTTGTGACCTTTTCTTAAAAGCAAGCTTTGAACTCAACGAAAACAAAGCGGCAGAGAAAAACACCACCGTCACCTCCATGCATTCTTTTTGGGCAAAGTGTTTGTTTAAAAAAGTCAAATAGATAATAAAGTAGAAATAGCAATATGAAGAGTGCTTGCAAGGTCATTCAAAGCATTTTCTAAAACAGCATCAACACAGCCTTCCACCGAGGCCCCGGCACCGCAGCGTCTGTCCTCTTCTAGACCTCAAAGCAGACCATCCACCAGAAGCCATTTGTTTTAACAACCGTGGGATTTCCTGTATTTCTTAGACTTCTGTAACTTGCTTACTCCACTCCTTATAGTTGAAGGACAGAAACAAGGCTCAGCGTATACCCACACCTACTCACTCCTTAGCCAGTGCAGACATCATCAACCATCTTCAACAGTCCGCCTTCCTATCGGCTTGCAGTTCTCAGAACCATTCTCAACACAGCCATGTGTTAACACTGCTATGTGATTTGAGTTAGCGGAGGACAGGAAACCTCTATGGCACTCCTGCTCCATTGTTAGGTGAAAGACTATGAAACTGACCTTTTGGGGCCTGCGCTGTGGCGCAGCAGGTAAAGCCACCAGCTGCAGTGCCAGCATCCCATATGGACACCAGTTCGAGACCTGGCTGCTCCTCTTCCTATCCCACTCTCTATGAAGGCCTGGGAAAGCAGTACAAGATGGCCCAAGGACTTGGGCCCCCTGCACCTGTGAGGGAGACCCAGAAGAAGATCCTGGCTCCTGGCTTCGGATTGGCACAGCTCCGGCCGTTGCGGTCAACTGGGGAGTGAACCAGTGGATAGAAGACCTCTGTCTCTCTCTCTCTGCCACTCCTCTCTCTGTGTAACTCGGACTTTCAAGTAAATAAAGAAATCTTAAAACAAAAACAAAAACAAAAACCTGACTTTTTATATACAATAGGGTTGAATGCTGGCAAGGTCATGGGGTTCATCCTCAAATTGCGTATGGTTTTGTCCCATCGAAAGGTGACCTACCCTCTTCTGAGCCCACAGCAGTGGATTAAGTACTCCCTCTTCTACGCTCTTATCGTTTTACATCTCCCTGGTACATTCTCTATGTGCTGTATCACAGTTTTCTATTTACATCTTGGTCTCATAAGCTACAGAATCCCCTCGGGTAGAGCCTAATCATATTTATCTTTTGATCCCCAGCACTGAGCAAAATATCTGGCCCTCAGAGAGATGAATGAATAGGACTGAATCATAATATGGTTTTAAAGATTAACTCTCCGTTTCTATTTTCTTTGCTAAAACAGTGCTTTTCCAATCAAATTTTCTTGAGGGTGCCTTTTTGTGCCTAATGTTTATAGCCAGGAATTTGTACATCTACAGTCCAGATATATTTGCAAGCTATGTCTAAGATATTCTCTTGTTTGCTCTCTCTGTTGAATAGCAGTTGAATAGCAGTCTAACATGAATAGCAGTCTAACATGAAACCCAGATAGCCTTGTCATTTATTTCCTGTACCAGTAACTGGCAGCTACTGGGCTCCATGTCACAGAGATCAATCTTAGATAATCAGAGTCCTTTCCAAAGCCTGTCATAACACTCCTTCTGTACCACAATCCCCCTGCATCCCAAATTCTGGCAAGATGTCTACACAGCCACTCTCAAGTGGGATTTGGAATCCCCCAGGGTCAGCGTCTTAGACACAGGGTCCAAACACTGGCTGCTCCCCCTGCAGACATCCTCAGCACACGGGATCATTCCCAGCTCCTGAGGGCATGGAGAAGTCTAGAAGGGGTGTTTCCTATTGGAGACAGGGAGGAGAAAGCATCTAAACTTTGCTACTCTGCTGCCAATCCGCAGGTGAGGAAACTGGAGTCAAAGCGGCTGGAGCAATGGTGCAGCCTCGCGCCCCCACACCTCTGCACAGGCCATTTCTCCTCCCAGGCAGCCCCTCCCCTCACCCCAGATAACTCCCTTCTGGACTCAACGCCTCCGCCTCCACCAACTCATCTATTTGCCTCTACCTGGCCAGGTTCAGTCTCCTACCTCTGCTTGTCTAGATTGGGTTGTAATGATCCATGTAACAATTATCTTCCCCCACCGAAGCTACCAAGGCAGGAACCATGTCTGACTCATTCTCCTATCCCCGCGGGTCCAGTCCCCTATGCTAAGAGGCAGGAAGCAGCTGCAAGGAGAAGCCAAAGGGTTTCTGATAGGCAGCCAGGTTGCAGTTTCAAGAAATCAAAGTAGAATGGAGGACAGGCAAGGAGAAAAGAAAGGCCATTTGCCTAATGTCTACCTGTGCCATTTGAGCT